TTCTGGTAATTCCATTTACAATTATACTCAGTCAACCGTATTATTAAAAGCTATTCGAGTTTGCACTAATAATAATTTGATCGTTCAAATTCAATACGAAACCATCGTCAATAGTTAATAGTTACACATTGTTTTTATGTGTTTAAAAATCTTGCCTCTGTATCTTCTTTGGTGTATGTAATTTTATGAGAATTTATTAAACCTTTCATTGACTCAAAAATATTCTTTTCTTCAAATTTAATACTGGATTTAGTAACCGTTTCGATTTTTCTTAGTAACATTTCGTTGTATTACTAGTTCGTTTTTAGTATTTTAAATGGATAGATGATATATTTAAACATACTTTATCGTTTTATTTGACATCGGATAAAATATAATTAACCATCGGTTTCTTAATTAGAAACACGAGATCTTTCTCAAAACGTATAGTAGACGTTTAGTTAAGCTTTTACCGTTAATTATTACATTACCGGATAATTTACAGATTACACATTATTATTATAGAGTGCAGTGTGGCGTAGTGCCTAGATAAGATAAGTTCGAAGATATTTTCTTTAATCTTTGCTATCCAAATTCGATGTTAACGTAATAGCATCACCAAAACATTTAATTTACTATATATTTTTAACTTTTAAGCATATTCTACGTATACGTTTATCGAATACGATTTTGTGCATTCTTTTCGTCAGTGTAGAAAGAAATTTCAGTTAAGGCTGGACTTTTGCTTGAAATTTTTGCATAAAGACTGAAATGATTTAAGTGCCTTAATATTGTTTTAATTATGATTATTAATAACATAATATAACATAAGTACTGGTATACACGTATACGATAAACGTACCTATAATTACCATAAAATATATTCAATGGCATGCCAAATATTATTTCATCAATTCAATCATATTTCTTTGAGAAGATTAATTACCAGATCAACATTAAAGGAAATTCATTGTTAATTGTTTTTTTTTTAATTATTAATTTGATTATTTTTTGAGTGAATTTAATTTAATTTATAATTATATACTTTAAATCTTTTTATAATTTATAATAATTCCATTTTATTACACAACATTCGCTATTAAGAATATTAGTAAATGCAAATTTGAAATATTTTAATAAGATTTTTGTGAATATTTTGTTAAATTTTTTTTGTGTTGTGTCGATTATAATTTGTAAGTATATATTATACACCAAATTTAATTCGGGTTTTGACAAATGATGTTCGGCGTTACTCAGTTTGATAGAAACAAGTTTTTGAAATTTAGAATATTTGCAAGGTTTTTATGGGTGGTTGGGATTCAAGTTAATTGGGGTGTAAGATGCATTGTTTTAAAATGTCAGATATTATAAAGAATTATAAAATAGACATTTTCCTTTAGTTCAGTGGTGTTCAACCATTAGTGGATGCGAATCTCTATCAAGTAAACTCAATGTTCAAGTCCGTTGTTAGTCATTTTGAAAATTCATATATTATAAACAAACTAGACTATTTTAGTCTAGAGATAATGTTCTTGACATTTTTTGTTTTGTTTTTTTATTTTTAAAAACACGAAAATATTCTGGGATTCGTTTTAAAATACCACGTCTGTCACACTAGACCAAACATTTAATATATAGCCAAGTTGGTGCACTGCATATAGGAATGTTTCAAGCGGAAATACGTTTTCAACATCTAGTGTGAAATTTTAATGGCTCAAAATTTCGGAGTAAAACATTTTGTAAATGTACATGTTTTTACTCTTTAACGATTTATTTTATTTTGAAGGGAGCGTATTATTCATTTTAAAATACTGCGACGACGACAGTGTATGTGTGTGTGCTCTATTGCACGAATATAGTAAGTGCCTACCATATTTTATTTGAAAAATAATCATTTTTAGATTTTGAATTTTAACCTATTAATAATTATTACGCTATTATTTGTTTTTGAAGATGTATTGTATTTTTGGCTTCCCAATATTGAAAGTATTTAAGTATTTCGACGGTATTAAAAACATGGTTTTTTTAAAAATTCTTTTGTTAATCGCAAACTGTGTGTTTACTATTATAGTATTATAGTTCCAAATATTTAGAATGTGAATAAAATGTTAATTGTTTGACATTTGATCACGAGAATTGGATCAAAATAATTTTCTAAGTACTACAGTGAATTCTAATTTAAAACGATATTATAGCATTGACATACATTCAGTCACCGCCTTTATATTTTGTATGGTATCTGCAGAAGAATAATTATTGCACCTAAACTAAATTCGTCATACATTAATGGCACAAGATAAAGTAAATATTTACGAAACAAAGGGATATTTAAATATTATAATATTTAAACTATACATATAATAATATGTCAAAAATGTATTTGTATGTTTCTATGAAATACGTTTCAGACGAGTTGTCGATTAATCGAGTGTAGGAGTATGGATATTTGAATTTTAACGAAATCATATGTTATTCTTCAGCCCGCAGGAACAATAAAAAAAAAAAATGCACAAAAAAATTAAGTGTACAGTTTTCATAGTATATTTCATCACGTTATTAAAACGTCAGGGCACAAGGACAAGTCTGAGAGTAACAGATAACTGAAAGGCTTAAAGTATGCGAGTAATAGAGATTATAATAATATGGTGTACGTATATAGTCCCTAATTTGTATTCCACGAGTCCTACAGATGGAGGTCTTATAAGTTATATAAGAGATTTATACATAATTGATTTTTGATGTAATGCACCCTTGAAGTTTATTGTACGGTTCGTTATTCGGTTAGGGTTTTGGGTGCGTGCGTCCCTGATTATTATATCATCTTCTATATTACGACATTGCGGTTTGTATTTAATAACATTGAATTACTTATTAAAATTGATCAACACAACTATATCGAAGTAGGTGTAATTGTCGATTGTTATTTAGGCACCTATATGTGGAAAACAGGTTTACCTATGGTTCATCCGGGCCGTTTACATATCCCTACTTTTACTCAAGCTGTATAAATATTCATTTTGTATCTACACTGCAGCAGTTATACACATTACATGTTATATTTGCATGTGAATACACAACGAAAATATTGATAGTTGCATAAAAAATAATTATAGTCGAAGCTAAACATAAACCTTCTATTTAATATTTTCATAGTCGTTAGAGGCTCAATAGTTTTTCTTTTTATCAGAAAATTCATTATTCCACTTTTGCATAGATTATTGCTGAATTCGTTCTGTAAAACTAGTTGTCTACGTTATTGTATTATGAGACATGACTGAAAAACAGTAGACTTTATCGTACAGACATAGCTGTTAAAAGCTCTATAAGTATATGTATTTATAATATTCTAGATTATTTGAAACACTGTTCTTTTGTATGATGTTTAAATAGATTTCTTCAATACGGTTATTGAATACTTAGTTGTGTCTTACAATTCATTTTATAATGATAATAATCACCTATCGGACATTATTTAAATATATCTATAGATATCTATAATCCCTAGGACATTATTATTATTATAATGACATATTATTATTTATTATTGTACATTATTTTAGTTTTTAACAATCTGCTAGCTAAATGTTGAATTAAAAATAATTTAGGCGTAAAGGAATAAAGTATATTGTAATAATCGATCAATGAACTATAATGGACAAATTCAAAACAGAACGTTATTTTACGTATGTGACTACCAACACAATATCAAAAAAATGTTGCAGTCTTCGCCCAAATAAACAGAATACATATTTTTGATACCTAAAGATTAACACTAACTACGACAGTCGGTTAATTATGTGTATGATACATATTTCAAGATTGTATATTTTTAAGCCCTGTAAATACCATTATTTGATAATGATACTAATTCAGAACAATTTCATACAATATTAAATAAGAAATAAAAATTGTTTATTTTCCAAAAAATTGTACAGGATTATAATATTCATGTTACAAAATATTAGTTTAGAATTCATACAACATATTATCAGCACTTGTGTATTCCTCCAAAGTATATTTTTAAGTAACATTGCAATGATGCTATTGAGTATGGACAAATGCAGGATAAAACATGACTGTATGCAGAGGGCGTTGACGTCAATTTAAAAAAACAAAGTTGGACTTACTACAATAATATTTTCCTTTAATTTTCCAATAACTTTATAAATAATTAATAATTAATATTCGTAAAAAATCGAATTTAATTAATTAACAAAGAGTAATAATAATAATTAACCATTAAAGTAATTATTATCATAAAATATTGTATCAAATAACTATTTAAAAAAAAAAGTTAGTCTACTTAGTTATATTTGTTCCATAAATCAATGTGTTTTTATATGATACACACGTTGTATAATGTTGGCATATTATTGGTATAAAATGCCTATCATTAAAATATATTATTATTATGATTATAAAGTTAAAATTATTGTTGTTTCTTTCGATTGGTGTCAATTAAAACTTACTAACTAATAAAAATAAGTCAAAAACGTTCTAATAAGGGTGGTAACCTTTACTTTTATTTGATCTATGTTTAATATAGGAAAGAATTCAAAAAAAATATTATTATAATAATATTTAAAGCCAAGAGAAATGTTGTATAATATGATTATATTCATTTAATAATATTGTTATTTATTATTATGTCTATTCTATTATGTTTAATATTAATATAACATATTATATTATATTGCTTTAATCGATCACACAATATTGAGTTTTACCACGATTATGACCGTTTTAAAATGTAATTTCTTCATGGCGTATATTATAATATATGTATATAATAGATAGTTTAGAGTAAGTATTAATAAGGTTATGTTTAATGATAATAACGTAATTCGAAAACAATCAAATTTATAGAAAGGCGGGAAAACATTTTTTTTCTAAAACAAATTAGCATAAGCCAAGTGGTTACAATAATTAAACAATAAAAACTTAACAGGTTTCGTCTACGTAACTCGAATAATATTGAAATAATAATATATTCGGTGGGCTCATTTTTTGATCCCGTCGCATTTTTTCGTTTAATGAACATCTAGTGCATACGATTTTCGATTAAACCGTTTAAATTTACTATTCTAGATTTTTTTTTTTTAATTCAATTAAATTAACAGTTTAGCTTGTTAATGTTAAAAGGCAAAATTATACGTGGTGCAAACACACAATAATATAATTATGTTAAAGTATGTTTTCTCAAATATTTTTTCGTCTGTTTTCCAGTGTCATCATTTTGGCGAGTCCACGTTTACATTTCACCGAAAATTCCAGCAAACGTTTTCCTCAGGTTTTTCATCGTGTCTTCGGTGTCGTCCAGCTGCCCTTTGTTTTGCTGCACCGGAACTGGAGCCGCAGCTGAAACGATGGAGCCTTGGCGGCTCAGGTTTGCTTTCACCGGTTGGCTAGACTGGTGGCTGCTGGTCACGCTGCTCTCTGAAACTACGAATCTTATATTTATATTCATATTAGCATCCCCCCCCCCCAAATTTTTCAACTATAGTTTACTATACATAAATCTGGACCATCATCCTATATTATTTTGGTATATTTTATAATCATTTTATTATAAATTCTAACATTTCATTTTTATTTGTACTAAAGATACACCTAAAATATTAATTACACAGCTTTTTTGTTCTGTTATAAACCACTATGATATATCAGTGATATTATTTACCCTAAAACAAGTATAAAACACATGGATGTACACTATTTTACTGCAGTTTAATATAAAAATCGACATGTATGTCACTAACAGTCATCTCATTTTCGAACTAAAAAAATAGCACCAGAAGGGCAGACATGGACATTCAACTTTCGTATGTATAGAATAAGGCTAGTTACTCGTATGTTTTTTTTTTCAAAAAATTCTCGTGCCGCAGCCCCATCTAACTTCCAACGCCAAGTGACCCGATCTTACGAAGTAAAAATAATATACACATAAATTGTTACACAACATTTTGAAGTAAAAAATTTCGTTATTTAATTTAGACTAATATTGTACAATGGTATGCTGACTGGGGAGATGGAGAAGTCATTTTATTTTTCCAATTTAAATTAGTAATACGTATATATATTTTGTTTGTTTTTCCCTGGTTCCAAAGATAGTCCGAACCCCGAGACCACACAGTCACTGGCCCCACTTAGAGTTTTCTCTCATTCTCTGTATATTATTAAATTATAAATGACTATAATATTATCAGCTATTTTTTAAACTTTATTAGCTAGACATCATTAGCCAGCTCGTCTTACCCAAAGAATCTCGTCTCGCTGGAATAGCTGGTGGTTCTTCTTCTTGTGTTTGGCTGACTGCTTGGAGGCCCATATTTGCCAATACTTGTGTCTAGTTCAATACATATTTTTGTATTAATACGTGTTCAGAATTTAATGAAACTTCATATAAATCCATCCAGGAATCGATCAGTATGTTAGTTGTTAGTTTTATGATAGATTAATTATCGGTAAAAATATATTATTATTATATTGATTTAATTCACTGTAGAGACAACAATTCAACATAATTGTTAGGTATATAAAAAAAAACTTGGCACATTTAGTACCTAGCACCGAACACCTGCAATCAAACGTATAACTTACAACAATTTATTTCATTCAGTTGAACCAATTTTGCGTTGTTATCTTTTATTAGAGTGAATTGACCAACTATAGATTTAAAGGTATGATTATCAACTAATTATAGGTAGTCTCGTATATTTTTTATGAATTTTATGAGAAATTTGTAATTGTTAAATTTAAATTGTAATATTTTACATAGATAGTTAAAACTCACTTTAATATCAATGTAAACCAATTATAAATAATTTTCTTAACATTAATTTTTATAAAAGTTCAAATCACTATAATTTTAAAGAATAACTAATAGATACTAAAACATTTATGCTAACAACACAAATTGATTCTGTTGAATATAAATCGTCTAGATTGCACGTTTGTAAGGCAGAGACAACACTTTATGATTTTATGGTACCCGCTTAATGTATTAAATTTAATATCCCTGAATGCATTTAATATATTTTTGAATTAATTGATACGTCTAGATACTTCTAATTTTTCCATGATCAAATCGAAAATATATTTCCTGTCTTCCTCTTGTTGATTTCCCAGCAAGGATAATGCAGAGTCGTTGACGCCAATGATTTGCTCTATTCCGTCTTTGGAGACAACTACCTCCAACGACAAAATGTCCAGACCACCAAAAAGTTCTGCTACAGAGTCCAGCCAAAATTTATATCTTTCTAGAACTTCTGTTTCTTCCAACATCGCTGAACCAACACACGATTTCCAATTGCCTGAGACGCTTTTACGCCTGAAAAGTAATTCCAAAACGAATTAGTAAATTGGCGCTATACGAACAATAAACATATTTCTATTTACATCAACGCTCTGTAATGTGGTCCAATTTTAGTCAGATGAAGATCGTATTTGCTATCGACAAATGGTTCGGTGGTGCAGTACGTTGAAGCAACAGATACAATTGATGTCATGTCCTGGAAGTCGGAATTATTTTCGACTTTAATTTTTCCCACGCCTCCGTGAGCATGCCCAACTTTCAGGACCACTGGCAATTGAGTGGCCACCGACTGAAACGCAATGTTATGAATCATTAGTTATCCATTGTATATTGGTTACTATGCCAAAATATATCATTTATATTACCATTTCGCCGGAGCTCGGGTAGAAAGTCTGTTCAATCAACGGAAAGTTTTCCTTCCCTAACTTTTTTTGAAGTTGCACCAATTGCCCGTACACCCACGGCTTATCCTGAAAACGTTAGTGATTAAGAAATGTTAAAATAAAATTAAAATAATATGAAATATATAAATATTATATAAGGTACAAAACTGCGTATAGGTACTTTATAAATACGGTAAATTCTCAATAAGCAGAATTAAAATTGTTATTTATTAATTAGGATTTTATTATGTGTACCTACAAAACGTATTATTAATGGAATACTATATATACCATTTAGAAATTATTGAATAGCTACTAAATATAAAAAGATTATTGTTTCTGAATAGGTTGATACGTTTAATTTTAATAGGTAATAAATTACATAGTCAAACTATTTAACAACATAAAACTTTTAATATTAGTGAATTAAATCAACTATTTATTTTGAGTCCAAATAAAAAATAAAATCACATTAATAGTCTAAATGCCTATTTCGATGAATAAATAAATAATTTGAACTCAAAAATATAAGATTAGATATTTTATAAACGTTTGAATCTGTAGAACTCAAATGGTAAATTGTTCCTTGTTCTCGATGAGTTTTTTAAATTCATCGAGAATCTATTAAAGTCTTAAAGTGATACTTATAATCAGATCTGTGAGTCTTAATGACTAAGAAATTTGATTAATTTGTTCACACAAATATGCGTTAAAAATGCTTTTAAAATAGGTAAAAACGCACTTTATTGTGAAATAAAAATAATAGTTATGAATATTTATGACTAAATAATATACTTTTAAATAAATCTTTATTTAAATATAAAAATTGAATAAGAACTACAACTTTTATAAGCAAATAATAAACAATTCTTGTTAGTTTTGATAGTTTGAAGCTTGCACTATTAGAGTACCTATGAAGAATGTTTTTAACATAATGTTGTGGAAAATGCACTTTATACATACTTAATGTCTTAGTATTGTTAGTAGTAATGTAAAATAAACTCGGTCATGAAACTCATTTTTCTGATTTCAAATAAGAATTAGCAAAATAAAAGTGAAAATGTATTATTTTAACACGTTCGTAGTCCTGTGTTTTTAATATTTATGACGACGAGATGAGTGATAACACTATGTCACAAGTCAGCGCCATTAAGAGCATAATATCGCACCTGAAAGTTGTACAACGAATGTAACGAATTGATGCTGGGCACGCCACCGATGTTTAGTCCCAACAAGACGTTTCGGTAATCCTTACTGGCGTCTCTGACGCTCTGCCGGCACAGGAAGAAATCCGGTCTGAACGAACGGACCACCCGGGAACCGGAAGGCGAGAGCACGGCCATGCTGACAGTGCATCCTTTTTCCGCGCTCGCGGTCACTGTCAGGTCTTTGATGTCCGCCTGTTCGACGTGTATCTCGAAATCGCCAAAGAACCGTTTGCCCCGGAAGTATCTAGACCTGCGCAAGAACCAATCAACGTCGTACGGGTAATTCAACAAAACAAAAGCCTCACCATTCGAAGTTCTCGTCGTCCACCACGAGCAACGTTAACAAACGGTCTTTGCTCACTCTTTGCTGTCTTCGTGTTGCTGCCGCGTCTGTTTACATGACGGTTGTGAGTGGGTGTAAGTACATGTTGAGAACAAAACATAAACGATGATTAATATTACAGGCGAGACTTGCGAAGACGATGATTGTTGTTGAAAATTATTTAATGGGCACGCTATATGCGTCACCAGCTTTTTAAGTGGTCTGTCACTGATATGTATAGTATTTTGAATACATTTTAGCATCAAAGTTACTTACTAGTGGTCCAACGGTCGGTACCATTGTTGGTTATGGCGTAGTTACACAAAATTAAATAGATAGACAGTTTCGAACACTTTAAGGTGTAAAAATCAATAGTATTGGTAGATAAGAATCAGAATTTTCACCGTTAAAACTCAAAAGATTACATTTTATTCTACTATTAATTATTATTTATTCTGAGCAAAAAATGTATTAGATTTTGAAAAACATATTAAATACTATGTACGGACTTTCCAACAATAATAACTTTTCCGTATAAGGAGTAAAAAATTTAAAACGAAACTTTACAATCAATGATATATTTTTTTATGATGGCAATTTGGCATTTTAAACAGGACTTGTGTAGGCCTAGTGGTTTCCACTTTCAGTGCAAACCTGATTTTAACTAACAATTTATGGACGCGTGACTTATATCATGATCATATTCCTAGTCTAATATGCGTATATTTATGAACATTAATACCACATAATAATTATACGTACTATTAAAATGTAAAATAACGCGTGTATTAGATCCCTATCTGCCCTCGTTGTTTTTTAATACCTACAGGCCTTTTCCGAAGGGAATAAAGTGAAACTGATTTTTGGGGTGGGTATAGAGGTATATTTTATTATCCATAGTCCATAATACATTGACTTTAATTAGTACCAAATATTAAATAGTATTTTTAATCAATCACAGTATGAAGAAACATAGGTACCTAATTGATGTGTTTAAATTCGTATTCCTACCAATGTGGTTTAATTTGAAAATGTATCACTGCTCAATACATTGGTGTTAACATGACGTAACAATAGCATAACAATATGCGAAGTTCATTGTTTTTTAGAGAATAGTTTGATAGTTTTCAATTATAATATATTATATTATTCACTTTCAATTTAATATTATGTTAAAAATTAAAATGTTTATCGCCAAAAAGGTGCAATACATTTTAGGTGCATTAAATAATGATAATGTATTACAGTTATTATCAAATTGTATGAATATTTTTAATTAGAATTAACGACCGTGTTATCTGGAGTAACCAGCTGTATGTATATAGTGTTGAGAAAATTCATGACTGAAACTTTCATTTATAAACTTTCCACAATTCATAGTTTATTCGTGCATTATATAGCAACGTACATTATATCAGTTTCATTATAAGTAAACAGTGATTGAAACAAATTGAACGGAAATTACAACGAAAATACAATTATATTACCAACAATCATTTAAATATGATTTATATAGCGCCTATAAGTTGTTGGTAAGCAAAGTAAAACTTTCAAGCGATTTAAACAAATATGCATGGAATTTAATAGAAATAGAAGCATTTTAAAGCAATATTCATAAAAATACGATTTTATGTAAAGTTTGATAGACGAGGTATCTTAAAATGTATTAAAAGTGATTATAGCTTTACATGCACTACCTCAAAATAATTGAATGCCAATTTTTGACACATTTTCTACACACAAAAGCGTTAGGTACTATATTGTCTGTAATACAATATAATATTATTATTTCGTTTATCTCGCAGTACAATAATATTACAGGGAGATATTCACTAATGTTACGTTAAATCGATAACCCTGTTAATACTCATAACGGACAAATAGGATGATATTATTTATTGGATTAAATCGAACTATTTCGAGGAAGCGTTCTTTAAACTAAATGCTTAATGTACGCTCTAGTTATATTATGGGATATTCGTCTGTCTGGAACAAAACGAAATGTAATAATACACTAAAGTACTATGGTACAAGTTTAAAACTTAAAGTAGGTATGATAATTAATTAATATTCGACCACTTGGCAATGATACGCGGTAGTAATTAATCCTATTCGTTTTCGAGTGGTAGAGTGTTATTTTTTCACCGTCTGGACAAGGGTCAAGATGTATCCGTATAAAATTCACCCTTGTCTACCCGTATAGGTATTTTAAAGCATACATGACGAGTGACGACCATTTGTAATTCATTATTATTAAACAAACATTGAAACACCTCTGGTATAATATTATACTGTAGAGATAATCGCGAAAATACCATTGCTATAAGTGAATCCATAATATAATTAATTTATGAGGTATTTCGACCTTATAGTGAGTTAGGTTATGTTAAGGATAAAGTATGTTAACATCAAAGTATTGAGAATATCACCCATAGAGGTTGCAACAAATATTATTTCAGATGCCAGCCGATTAGATATGCAGACTACAGTAAAGAAGCATATATAGAGATAGTTTTCGACATTTTCGTATAATTAATAACTCCATAAAAAGTAATTAACGCTGGGAAGTTATTACATTGAAGCTAAATTACAGAAAAAATATGAACAAAAAAAAACTAAAAGTATACATTAAGTCACTAAAGTATGCAATATTTTCAACTTTCAAAAATATATATGAAACTTTTTTTGTTAAAAAAAAATATTCTCATTCCCATTTTATGTTAAAATGTTCATTTATTCAAATTATCTGAACTTGTAAGTATGCTATAAAGAAAGTTGTACTACGACAGCTATAATTTTTTAATTGTATTAAATACGAATATTTTTAGAAATCTGAGTACCGAATCCATGGCATCTCTCAGATAAAACAATTTACACGCAGTGAATATTTTGGTGTATTATGTTCTATTGAATCGTCGAATTGCATGTCGAAAAAGAAAATCGTACTTTTGAACCATTGTTATGAATCATGAATATAATGAATATCTCGGTTAACCTTATCATAAATAATAACAATGAAGTATAGACACAAAAATGATGATAAATGCCTCACTCCCAATTCGATCTGGTGGTAATACTACGAAGCATTAGTATTTAGTGATGTAAAATCCCAAGGAATTTCTGAATTTCTGAAATATAAAATATTAGTTTTGGAATAAAAGTTACATATTTTTTTTTAAATTACACTTGGATTTATTTATTGGTATAAGTCATTGAACGGTGGTATGGTAAAAATTAAAAATAGATTATATATGATAATCACTGCAGTGTTGCCCCTTTATAAAAACAAAATTTACCTAATCAAAAACTATTGCAAAGTAGATGTTATTTTTGTCATGAAAATTCTTCAGGAAATTTGCCATTCTGCTCATATATCACTAAGAGCCACACCTACCATAATATAATATTATCATTCTTACACGGGCGACGGACACGTCATCGATGGGTACTCACATTTGATATCGTTGCTTATCGAGCTGGCCTTCTCCTTGGCCGCGTCCGTCAGCGATTGGACGCGCTGCAGGATCGAGTCTCTCGTCTTGGCCGGACTGGTCGGAGCGCTAATGGTCCGGTTGCCCGGCTGCTGCTGTTGCTGGAACTCCAGTCGCATGTCCGCAGCTTCGGACGCGGGCGTGGCGGCCTGCGAACGAGACGGTTTGGACGCGTACTGCCGCTGTTGGGCTCGCTGTTGCGACTGCGTCCCGGACGCCGGCGGCCGGTCGGTGGGAGCCATCGATGGATCGGCATCGTCTGCTTCCGAGGATAGGTCTCCCGAAGAGAACCTGCAAAACCCACAGACGTGTTCAGACCTGTTCCGGATATAATATGATATGCGATACGGCTATTCTAGGTTTCGGCTCTCGAAATCAATTTTTACCAACAATTAATAAAAAGCATAATGCATAGTATTATGTAATTTTAATTTGCATAAAATATAGGTCAGTTTATGTGTCGGCCACCCTAAATAATCTACCGTCGACCGCTATGGAAGAGGGAGGGAATAAGAGGGTCACCAGCTCGGGACACACTGATCTATATATTATATTGTTACAGCGGCTGCAAATCAGTGGCTAGAGATGATATTATCGACCCAAATGTGGCGAAATGGCCGAAGAAAAAAATCTATTTTTTTTTTACTTAACTTCGGACGGTTACAAAAACACTTTGATCATAAAATACATTTTGGTAATCCATCTTCGACTATTAAAATCAGATAACCGCATCTGTTTTTATAATAACCGTACAGAAGCATACACATTTTACGAATTCATCATATTTACCGATAACCTACATGTATCACTTTGGTTGTCGGTAGGTACTGGTACGATTTTGGTTGGAGAATCTAGGAAATAGCTGTTTGCAGGAATCAATGTTATAGAAGTGGCATATTTTAACCATATAACATTTTATCGCATGTTATAATATGACGTATATTAAAATATATTGCTTTGGCAGTGCAGGTATAGTATTTTTGCTCGGAGAAGGGGAATTTCCAAATTCAAGATATGTGCAGTATAATGATTTATGGTTTATGGTTGTAAAGACTATAAAGAAACGTTGTTTGAAAATCTGAAAAAGTCAAAAACGCCAGTACAATAGTATTTAGAACGTAATAAATTACCAGACATTAGTCATTACTCATTAAAGTCGTGTTGCGCATCGTTATTACGGATTATGTAATCAGGAATTTAAGCATCGAGATCCTGTAATATTTTTTTTATTTACGTTTAATTTATAAGAACAATACATTTATTTCTCGTTTAATTATTATATCTGTCGTGAAATGTGTACATAAAAATCGACCGGACAATTGGACGAGTAACCGTAAACGGGTGATTTACATTGTTTTAAATCGGACCTTTTTTTGTCTCTGTTTATATTATATTACTCGTTTTTATACTTGAGTTCTGACATTAATTAGAAGTGAATTAGTGACGTTTCGGCAACTCCCATGCCATTATCATGCTCAAATGTTATTTATGAATGTTACACTTTAAATTATACGATATAGGTTTAACACCAATTCGTATGACTTTGTACGGCTTTGTTTGGTATCTGCGAGTTAATAAATATTATATTTTCATTGCTCGCCGTTAGTTCAAATTTCAAATACACGTTTTTGATAAGTTATTTGCAAAGCCCCAAAAATATTCTCTACACGTATATTACTTTTTTTATTATATAATTATATTCATGAAAAACTAACTTCACTTACCAATATTATATGAATTTTTTTGGCTTTAGGAATAATAAATATAGATATTATATAGTCTTTAGAAAATGTTAAAAAGTTATTAATATTGAATATAATATTTTATTATAACAAAGATACCATTGTATGATAACATTCAATGACTTAAGTAGAACTAAATTGCAACTCACAAAAACATTAAAATACAAAATATAATTTCCAAATACTTCGTTCATGTTTGGTAAATTCACTATAAACACTATGTACAATGAACCAGCGCCCTTAGTTTTACTGAAACTATATTTTTCTTCGGGCGCTAGTCCAAAATGTACTTACGTCCAATATAGTTTTTCCAATCATCGTAATGCAACATTTTTGTGTTTGTGGCTTCAGCAAATACATCCAGCTATTCGAATTAAATGGTTTTAATAATAAGTTAAAGGAGTTTGAATCTATGAAAATAAAATCCTATACAATTTAAAAACTATTTTTTCTCCATAAATAATGCCTATTAACTGAAACTAGTGGGTATTGATTTCATACACATTTAATGAACTCATTATAAAAAATAAACAAACAAATTACCTTTCCCTCTTGTTAAGATTTTGATGGGTGTGAAAAGTTTATTTTTTTCACACCGAAAAATGAATCTTTAGAAATATAGTTGGTTTATGGATGGAATGGGCGGGACAAATTATTAACGAAAACCACAGGCGAGTCGCCTGTGCCAAATTTACGAAACGATTTCACGGTTTAGTTTGGTTTATAGTTTATATACTAATCTTTGTTTGACCGAAACATAGATATATAGATTAATTGACGCAGTGGTAGGTAATTCCCGAAACGTGTTTAAATCTTAAAACTCGTTACATGCACTCTTTATTATAAAATATATTGGTACTAAGACTATAAGTTAGTTAATTTTGCTGGTATAATAATGTGCTTGTATCCTGTATAGGTTAGGAAACTACTCACTACTGTTTTAAAAGGTTTTAATTTTGAGACTATGTTTTATTATATTGAAACAATGGCAGTAGGTAACTACGGCGAAAACGATAATGATTGTACTACTTTGGATTCGTATATTATGTAATAAACAAACAATGTACCCTTTGTTGGTTTTCAAAACCAACCTTTGGGTGTCAACCAGCCATTCTCAAAACAATAAACAAACAGAAAACAAAACGAAAACAAAAAAACCGTAGCATGTGTGCGCATTGATGCAAATACGTGAACAATATGATATTATATACATTAGTGTTTTGAAATAATTATTTTGTAAATATTATTTCTCATAGGGACAGTTCTGATTTAAGATGTGATTATTTCGTCAACTCGTGTATTATTATATTGCTTAGTTTAAAAATGTTACCATTTTAATACCATTATTGTCGACAGTCTAAGGTATTTGAGATTTTTAACTTTTATAATGTTATAACATACTTTACTTTACTATTGTTTTATACCAGGGAACAGTGGCGTATTAATTAAGATTTTGCTGCCCTAAGCATACATTTTTTTGAAGGCCTGTTCCTCTAGGTTTTTTTTTATACTGTCAATTTTCCTCACTCATAAAACACTTGTGTAAAATTTGATGCCCCTAAAAAAGTGATGCCCGAGCCAATTTTCCCACATTCACACCTCCCCCCTAAATTTGCCATTAGCAGTGATTCATGCCCAATACACATGTACAAAAGTCGTACAGTATACATATTGTTTTTATTGAAATATCCAAGTAGATACAATTTCGTATAAGTTACAATTCAAAAAATCATTAAGAAAAACTATAGGTATTCGAGAAACATATAGTCATCGTTTCACAGTAGAATAATAATTGTGAAAACGATTTTTTTTTTAACTGACACTGTTATATTATGTAGCTTTTCTACAACACTAATTAAACTAAGAAGACGTATAGTCAACAACAAAATGTGTTGTAATTATATGAAAAAAAACTACACAAGCCTTATATAATCAACGACTAAAAAGTAATATTATGCGATCATAACTACAATTTAAAAGTTACAATGCGATATTTGCTAAAAATTACCTTCGTTTCAAATAATTGACATTGGTGGTGAAAGACTGTTTGAACGTTGAGAATGGAATTTTGACTGATTATTTGAACACGGGTTTGTATGAATGAGAGCTAAATGGGCTCTCGTTAACAGACTGAAATTGAAAGGGATTTTTCGGTAAGTAAAAATTATATTAACAACAACAATATTAATTATTATAATCAACCAAAATTTACTACACATCTATTTTTTACCTTGCTTTTTTATTTTATAGTAGGTATTTAGTTTTTTGTTAGGGTATACGGGGGAAAATTCGGGACGTGCAAGACTCTTGTATATAAATAGGCGTCGACTGCACTTACACGCGTTTTTCACTGTGTCGGCGGTGGTGGCCGATCGATAGCTCCACCGACAGACGCGTCGTGCCCTCCGCGCGACCGTTAACCCCTGGTGGCGGTTTTCCGAACGATTATGGAATACGGGTGAAATAGTGAGCGTAGTTCGTGCACATTACCCAGTGCGTACAGTACGCAGTCCCCGGGACGGCGTGCAGAGGGTGACTTCGGGAAAATCCATACAGCCGCAGGGAAATCGAATGGCCACTATTATATAAGACGAGGAGGGTGCGTGTGCCGTTGGCGGAAAACCAAAAGCAGCGCGGAAGGGGTCTCTATTTCGCGCTTAAATGACCTACATGTGTATGTATATAATATAAGAAACTGAAAAATAAAAAAGTAAAACCAGAGTGAGACGACGGCGACCCTCGATCTCTCTATCTATATCACCAAACACACACGCCCACGACTTCCTATTTATGTATACATTATATGCGGGCCGATCCTTTTGTATCTCGAACAGGGATGCCAAGCTGAATTTCATTCTACTGATTAAAAATAAAGAACGCACAGAAAATTGTTTATCATCGTTGCAAGTTTTGCGAAAATCGGTGCAAAATAATGACACTGGTGTGGAACCGATCGGACAAAGTCCTGTGCTATATTATAAGTCCGTGCAGTTGGCATAGCGAGTTATATGTTAGTTTCTGCCACATGTCAAAATTAGTTGAAAACATTTTTATTGCCATGAACAAATTATTGTTGAAAACTATTTGGCAAATAATGACGCTAATATTTGAAAGTGATCTGAACAAATCGGGGTGCCAACTTCAAATATCGGGTGACACATCTAAGTTTTAAATTTTTAAATTTCTAGAAAACAAAATAAGTACTGCATACAATTGAAGAAAAATTCAAAACAGTAGTTATGTTTTTTTAAATTAACGTGGATATAAAAAATGTAATTCAAACATTGTGCACAATGCACATATTATTATAATTTAACCCATAGGTTAACTCAAGTAAAAAATAAACATCATGTTTTATTCGAATCGCGCATCATTTATTCATTTATAGTATGGTTAGAATTAAAAACTCATTAAATATTTATTTTCTTTAATCACTCTGTATCCACTGCTTAGTAAATTAAAATAAATATTTTTCGACACAATTTAATAGACTCATTTTTTTTAACTACATAACCATCGTATTGTACAAAGAAGAATAAAATATGAAACTTCATTCATACATGGTTAGTAGTTGTTAAACCTAGGTATATGAAAAAGAAATTTTAATGTTGAAAAATGTCCGCGGTTTGTGACCTAGATAGTATTATTATAAAATAATATATTAAATTAATATTGCTCTCCACGTAAACTTCAATTTCATTAAATTTAATTTAATTATAGAACATGTTCTTATATGATTGTTTGCAACTTTGTAAAATCAAAACAGCATGCAGTTATATATTCTGGGAAGTCGAACGCAAAATGAGAAATTCCGAAATAAATTTGGAAAATCGTGCGAACTGTTTGTAAAAAAAATGTGCAAGTCCTCTTTAGGCTTAAGAAACTAAAAAAAAAAAAAAATTAGCACTATTATTTATTATACGAGGCATCATATTATTCCGGCTGTAAAAACGATTTAATGAGCTTTATACACTGACTAATGCGATGTGTGCATACCGCGGTCGGCCGAAAACGATTTAATTATGTATATGGCAATAGGTTAAGACGATTTCTGGAGATAATATTTCAAACGCCGTATAATAATTTAAAGAAGACCCTTCGGATATAAGCTAGACTCGTTAAATAAACGAGACAAGCTGTGTGGCGATTTCATATTATATTATTACGACACGTGGTTTTAACACACTGAGCAATCTTTTTTTGTACCTACTAAAGCGAAAGTTATTACACGGGCAGTGACACGGAAGCTTACTGTTGTTTATTTATTAGAAGCATTTTACACGTGTTTATACGAAGAGATTTCGTGTTACAAATCCTATTATGTTCACGGGAACATCTTTCTTGCAGCAAGCCTTTCCGTGAAAAAGAGACTCGTCTGTGTCTATAAATTCTGGTTGTATAATTCGATCTGGAAAATAAAAAAAAACGTACTATACTAAAACATGTCAACAAATAAAAAACGTGTAGCGTTATTCCAAAAGCCCTTCAAATATTATCATGATTTCGTAGTCTGTAATTTATTGAACCTTCCATCCTGCACGACTGTCAGTTATGTAAATTCAGTCTAATAATAATATTGTACACAATTCAATAAATATTTTGGCATAATATTTAATATTATTTATAGTTTGAGCACTTCTCGATTAAACCAGCTGCACATTTTCACCAGTAGCCATTGTTATGCAGTTTATAGTTTATACACTTTCTTTTTATCGTTTTATACGATGAAACATTAAACCAGCCCAGTTATTTGGGTTCATTATAAATGAAGTTCTTTGGGAAAATTATTATGTTCCTACCGCAACAAAAGCTCAATGATAATTTGTTCAAAAAAAAAAGTTTATAAGTGAGATCAATTGAAAGACAGTTCAAATGGTTTTATACAAGGATTATAATGAATTGGACATACTACAGTGAACCCATTATAGGGCGTGGAGTAAAAGTTTTCCGGTGAAAAGTAGAACTGACACATTGAATGGAAATTCCTGAACCCTCAAGAAATCATAAAAGAAAATACGCTTTTCTTGCTATTACATAAAAATAGTTTTGAGGAAATAAAATGTGTATTTTTTGAACTTTAAACATCCCACATGAATTCCTTCTGGTTTCAAAGTTATCGTATTCGTAAAAGTTAGATTTGAATCTTTAACAATCTATGCAATTTAAATTTCGTTTTACTTCAAAAATAAATCCCATCTAGTGTACCTACCATGTAATATTATATTTATCTATAGGGTGCATCACTGTGATATGCCGATATTTAACTTCAATTAACACTTCACGATATCACCATTACAATCGTGAAAAACTAATAAAGGTTAATATTATAATAAACTAGCCCCTGATCCAGGCATCAAAAAAATATTCAACTTTTTAAATTAACCAAATTACACAACTTAATTTATACACCTCCACATGTTTTGAAATATTTAAAATATTTCACTATAATATTATAATACGGATGTTATCTCTTGCCTTATTTCTGTACGAAGTGTAAAATATTAAATTAAACACTTTCTCTGTATGTAAGCACATTGAAAGTATCAAGCGCCAATAATGTATGTTGTTGCGGCTTCTAATAATAATAATAGCAATAAATATAATTATATATATATATATACACATAAATATAATGAACAGTATTACATTTTGCATTTATATTAATGATTAATCTGATTTTCATAGGTCTTATAAAACTTATATTATAATTGTTTCCGAATATGTGGGTTCCCTCACATGTTGGAATACCTGGACATAAGAAAGCAGACAAGTTGGGTTAAGACTCGCTCTCCTCGCTCTACACAAATTAATCTTTAAACCACATATTACGAAACCTTCAACATCATACAGCACAAAATAATGGGAGAATGGCAGAAATGCTGACCAACAACTTTAGAAACGTAAAACTGTATGTTAAGAAACCAAAAAACACTCCTAGCATTAAGAGAAGAGAGGAAGTAATCATTTCCCAAGCCAAAATAGACCACTCACATACATACAGACACTAACAATAGTTCACATTGTTATAAACTGAAATACACTGAAGCCCACCAGTTCTTCAATAATCCTCTCACACTTCACCAAGCACTCAACGAAGAGAACAGTAATCATCACATTTTTCTGACCTATAAAATTGAGCTACAAATTAAAGTTCTCTAAAGGATGTCAATATTTGTACATCCCTACTATTTTTAGATTCGATGTATATTAGTTTATATTTCCTTGTTCAATACCTAGTTAATACATGCTCAAAACCATTGTTGTTGAAGCCTTAATAAATTATTAAAAAACAATTGTTTTCATTCCAGTTTATATTGATCAAGCGTGAATTGTGGAGTACCTATAATTACATAAACATTCCAATGAATTGAAAGCTTAGTGGGTGTATACTGTGCTTACTGTTATACAAATAAATTATTAAAAATACCTTAAGTCCATTTATTTTATTTTTGAGTATAACAGAATCAAACAAAATACGGACACAGCGTAATTTCCAATATCACATTATATTATGGTGTGTCACTGCCTGGTAAATTAATACTAATTATAACTTGAGTGCTATATTATACCATCCAATTAAGTAGAAAATGTATTTTATAAAATAAGTTAATGAAATATCGAAGGTATAAATTCCAATAAAAATAAATTGTATATGAGATTGCCATGTAAAGTGTAAGTTTCCCAACCGTGCACGCGTGTCGTTCAAGCGCGTAAAATATTATTGGAGCAACCAGCAAGTAAAATTAATTTGAGAGTGATGGATAAGTTGAACGTGAGTGAAATTTTAGTCGTTCAAAAGATATTGATGAATACGTTTGAGGAAATTTCTTTTTTAAATATAACATCCGTAAATCTTTATCAGTTATTTACGTTAGTCAAAATAAATTGTACAACAATAATAATAATAATAATATGAACTGTAGAGTTTTCTCAACTAAACAATTTCACATTCTTATTATATCGAATTAATGTTCAAATATTTGAAGTAGTCTTTTAATTTTCTTCTTACATATTCTCAAAATAACCAAAAATATTAATGTTATTATATAATGATATCCCAAAACGTGTTTTGCCTACTCGAGTGAACATAATATATGCTTTCTTTGATTGTTAAAAGTGGTTTCAATAACAAATAGAATGTATACAAACGATGAAACGAGAAATGAATTTTCTTTAGTTATTTATTCGTTTCGTCTGTACCACATGCTGTTTTTTCTCATAAACCATATTTTTCGACAAAATAATGTCACGCATACGATTTATTGTACGAATAAACTGAAGAAACATAATAATAATATTATACAATAAGTATATGTTTATTGCATAATAATAATGGTGCCACAAACAAACGAGCTATGGAAATACAAAAAA